TGGGTTAAAACATTGAGACTTTATTACAAGAGCACATACATGTAAAACTCCCTCGGTCAACATCCAGGATGCATGCAATAGGCAAGAACAGTGGAGCCACAGGTCACTGGAATAGTGGAGCCGATGATCCCTGCATAGCCTGGGGAAAGACCCGCTTGTGGACTCCACGGCGTCTCTCCGTGCCTTCCCAGGGCCGTGAATGGTGAGTGGGTGGGCTGCAACGCGTTTCAGAAGCTCTGCCTACTTTATCAAGCAGGCTATGCAGGGATCATCGGCTCCACTATTCCAGTGACCTGTGACTCCACTGTTCCTGCCTTTGACATGCATTCCTGTTGACGAGGGAGTTTTACATGTAAGTGCTCTTCTAATAAAGTCTCAATGTTTTAACCCACGTTGATCTGGCGCCCTGCTTGTCCTTTTGGTTGCTTCCGAGGGATTCCCCACATCCTTGGCAAGGAGCTGCCGGCTTCATCGTGCATGCTTTAGTACCCATTGTCCATACCTTCCCTACTCTGCATACCTCTCAGATGAATGGAATTTTACCTATTGTCGCGGACTGGTACACTATCATTTATGTCATCATGGTGTGAGTGCTGAATACACTTATTTATTGTACAAGATGATTACTTTATGTAATGAATATAGATGAATAAGTATATATTGGGAAGGGGATATTTAATTTTCAAGGTGTCAAAGAAAGAAATTTGACTATGGGGGACACCAACTGTTTGCAAAGAGAAAATGAAAACTGTATAGCATGCTTACACCATTTTCAGTGCTGAACATCTGGAAGTGTGGCTTGTTGCAGTGATGAAGTTTATGTCTGTGTGGTCACTCAATCTCTGTCGGGACATGAGCTTTTCATACTGCACTCGTAGCTCAGCTCAAGTCTATACTGAATGTTTTATTGGTCTATTAGAGCTTCCCCTGTTTTGGGTCTCCTGGGTTAAGCAGATGGCTGATAACCTTGTGCAGGTACATATAGGAGCCTGCCCTGCACTTGTAGTGTTAGTTCGATAAGGTAACTGGGATACAAAGTTTACTTTAGTTGCAACAGTGACAGTTAACCATCAGAAGACTTACAGCTGCTAGCTGTCTAATAACAGTTGTTGATGGTGCTTTTCCATCTCTGCCTTAGCATCCAGTAGCTGGAGAATGGGATTTCTAAAGAGCTGGCATTGGCTTCACACCAATGCCTTGTGGTAGCATGTGCTAAAGTAGGCATTTTAGAGCACAGACACCTGAGGTGTTACATGTGATTATGGACATTTGAGAGGCCATGGATGCAATTTGCTCCCTGGGTCACTTATCTGTCCCTAATTGCATGTAATCGCTTGCTTGTCTATCCACTTGCATGCAAACAGCCACAGCATTTGTCAGCTTATCATTGATTTGATAGGCTGAGCGTCAGCGCCGAATCACAAACACCAGTGGAACCCACCAAGTATTTACGCTCATTCTTTTTGGAGTATGGTCCCATTAGTGGCTAGTGGAACATTGCCCATTTGCATTGGTCAGTGTAGGTGCTCACTGCTCAAGGAACCCCTTGCAACCTCAAGAGGAACCCTGGTTGAGAAAAGCTGTTTAGCTTATTGCATAAAAATGTCAAAATAAGAGCTTCAAAGGCACACAAAATGTATTGTCCAAAGTCCTACCCTTCCCCTATCACACGTCTATAATAGGGACTTTTATCACAGCATACATTCTAGTCACACTCTATTAATATTATGGCAGAAACTCAGTTTTTATTCATGTGGGAATCAGCTTGATGAAGAATATGACTATATTTTCATTTTTTATCCCTAAGGATATGCACTCATTTCTTTTGCGCAATTTCTGTGTGTAGTGTTTGCATGTGTTGGCCACGCAGGGACCTCAGCTGACTGTTTTTTGGAATGTGTTTATTAGATGAAATAAGAAGTGCGTCATTTGTACACCCTGCTGTTGTCCTTAATGCTAGAAATATATTTGAACAGTTTTTGGGTGGGGAAGGCACTTGGCAGGTGTTAAAAAAGAATGCCAAGTGCTTATGTGAACCTAGCCTTTTTATGCAGTGAGCACACGGAACAAAAAACACAGCAACCACACATAAAATCAGTGTACACATACCCTTAAACCTCATATCTTTTTTTTTAAGGGCTGGTAAAAATATCAACCTTTTTCTGATCACTGAGATGATATTCGCATTCCAAACAGCTGTTAATGGAAGATCACATAATGTCACATTGCAGATCAGGCTTTAATAAATCAATGCTCTGGTCTCAATGCTCATTGGACCTTAAAAAGACCCTGTTACCAGATCATTAGTTTAAAAAATGTTTTCCATAAGAATATATGTATATTTAAAGTGTTCGTTCACCTTTACCTTTTCTACAGAAAAAAGGGGTGAACTAACATCAGACACCCTTCCCACCCTCCTCCGGTCCCTGTTGTGCTTAACTCTGGGGTTGCCGAGTTGGCAGCACCCCTGCAGCCACTCCAGCGGTCTGGGGGTTTGAAATCTGCACTCCCTTTCCTCTTCTCCTTTAGCTCTTCCAGGATGGACCAGATGTGATGGTGTTGACCAATCAGAATCCATGTGGTCCGTCTTGGAAACACTGATGGAGAAAAGGGAGAGGAGTAGGGATTTCAGTAGAGAGGGTGGGGAGGGTCTCCCGTGTTATTGCACCTTTACATTTTTTTCTGTAAAGGTGAACTAACCCTTTAATGTATTTTATGCATGTAATTTACCTGAAAAAGCCTCCCTTGAGTAGACATCCACAAGGGACAGCTGCTGGGGCACTACCATCTTGGATATGATATCAGCAGCCTCAGCAGACGCAGAACTGTCACTCAGGGAACACTCTGTAGATCCCATTTTTTATGTATTTATTCATGGCATTGGAGATATCATAGCCTAGTTGTTAGGCAGGTAAGGAGGCTGGGATACCCGAGTTGGGGAGTAGGAAAAGAAATTTGAAGTGGCGTCTTTTTTTACCGTTGCTTTCTTTCATAGTAACACCATATAGTATTAACCTTAACTCTTCCCTCAGCAGACACATACTGTAAAAGGTTATAAAGGGAGGGGCAGAGGAGCCTGGCCAGCACAGAGAGTAATTAGACACTCCCAGAAGACGGCAGGGCTCTGATGTGCAAAGAGGGAGGGGGAGATGCTAGGACATTGATTCATACTGTAGTAGATAAAGTTTCAAACAAATTCAGAGGCAAGTCAACAAATATTTCTTTATGGAAAGGAAAGGTACAGCAAGCAAGTTTTTTAAAATGCTTGTTTTTTTTGGTGCTTTTACTGGCAATTTTTATTTATGTTGGTGACAGGGTCTCTAAAGCAGATGGCAAAGTTAGCCTAAATACAGGTCTACTGAACTCTCCACATTTTTTATTTAAACAAAAATATCCTTCTACATGACCACTGTGATTTTGCAAAGGCTTCTTTCTGCCTGAGTCATGGGCAGGATGTTGTGGTGCACCTACATCACCAGAGGAAATGCACCGAAGTGAAGCTAGTAAGAGGAGAGGAGTTGCAGTAACCTCATCATTTTGGCGCCACCACTAAAAAGATATTGGCAGTTGGGAGCAAACACTGAAAAGGCCTTTACAATGGGGATGGCACTGACATCATGATGTCACTGCTCAATACAATGAGGAAGCACAGTGTGGTGAGGCTGACAGCACTGCTGCAATGTCAACAGAAGTGTTCTAGTGTTGTTGGCCCTAAACACTTTTGAAGCAAAGGAGTTTTACAATAATATGTAATAAATATCAAAGTGATAAGATTATCTTTTTATTAAGGAAAATTTTATTTTTTCCTAATGTTACACTTTAAAGTGTTTAGTCTTAGTAAGATTAAATATAAAAAATAATAAATATTCTTTATTTCTATTGCACATAATAAACATATTCCTCCCTAGTGCTTAAGTATACATGTAATTTACATACAATCAATACATTCTTGATCAAAATATCTTTCCGAAGCACAAATCTGTATTCCCCCATACTAATGCAGATCCACATCCTTATTTTACCATCGCAAGTCTGAATATGCTTGGTTGCTGCAAGGGGAACACAGCCAGTACTTAGGAAAGACACTTTGATAAAAGATGGTCTGCATTCGGGGACTTCATGATAAATACGAGCCTCAAGTATTAGTGTCTTTGACATTGCCCACAGCAGCCATTGAAATTATGTTGCCAGTATATACTGTATACTCCAATGTCAGTTGAAATCATAAAACCTGTAGTTGATTGGCTGGTACAGATTAACTCCCTAATTGCCAAACTAAGGGACTGTATAGATGGGCTTTTGTTCATTTCAAATGACTTTGGCATTCCCATACAAGTCTATATAGCAAAGCAAAGCCTGCTTGAAGTAGGTCACAAGGAGGTCAACTGCAAGTAAAGTATTTCAAATGCACGTCAAACTGATTCTATTGACACAAGCCCAAAGCCCTTCAAGACGTGCCCTAAAACAAATAATAATTTCAGAAATTTTAAAGTCTTCAGAGTGATTAGGCACCAGACCTGCCTGACTGATGCAGATTAAAAAGCCAGATGATGGTGCATTTCCAAAACATAAAATAGCCAAATCATTTTGGAATCAGGCTGTGAAGCAGTGAAATCTTCGTCATGATCTTGTGGGTAGGGTGGAGACACACATAGATGCTGGAACTTCACCATTACAATCTCCCAGAGATTTGAGAAGCTGGCACGGGTCAAGTCATCAGTGACTTCTTCAAACTTAAGAACAGTTTTGATGCAGTGGGTGTTTGGACATCTTTAGAAGGCAGCATCAGTGAGTTCTGTATTATTATTCAGCTCCATGCACCAGGAAAGACACCAGTTCCTGGCAAATCAATAGGCCGCATCCTCAAAAATACTAGTTCAAAATATGAAATGGCCTCTGTCTAATGGTGAGAGTTCTTTAACAATACATTTTATGGTCCCTGACATCTCCAAAGACTTTGTAGTGGTTTAAAGTATTTTCAAAGTCTAAAGTCTCTGGTATCAGTACATTCGAATGCCCGTGTGTTGTTCTATCCAGTCTAGGTATTGCGTCACTTTGGTGTAAACGCCAGGCTTTCCCTTTTGTCCACATCCAACACCCCAGCTAACAATGCCAAGCAGATGCATACGTCCATTGGTGAGACATACCAGGGGTCCTCCAGAATCACCCTGCAAGAAAGAAGATGAAGTACTTGAATAAGTGAATCTTGACTTGTATACCACTGGGGATGAGTAGCTATCCCAGCTGTTTCCTCATTTTCTAATCCTACCCTAGAAATATGACTCTGATTATAATATAGATATCGCCTTGGGTGGCAGATCTTCTGCCGATTAGTAGCGGGGTCACCCAGATTCTTTGAACATTACAAAGGGACCTCCCACTTTCATCCTTGGACTTTTAATCTGTTTTACAGGGTGTATATGTGGAAGGTTGGAAGGAAGGCTCATGCAGCCCAGCAGTATCCACTCATAATAGAAACACCACTTTAAGCTGAACTACCCCTTTAAATAGTATAGAGTATCTTTTGTCTTTATTATTTTTCTACATTTGTTCCTGTCAATGATAGCTTCAAAGGGAAACTGAAGTGAATGTGATTAATACTTCCTACCAAACCTTCTTTTGTGTTGGACTGAGCGTGTAACATAAATTTGCCTTTACATGCTACATACTGTGTCTTTGGGACAGAAATTGAAGGAAAATGTATATAGTGGGACTTTGCCACAAGATGTCCTCAGTCTTCCCGGCAGAATAATGCCCAATGTCACCATCTAGGAAGACTGAGGAAAAACTAAGTGCAGAGTGTCATAGCATCACCGTCTAAGCAATGTAATGATTCAAGGAGCAGAGCTGACCCTGTTCATCAGCAGCACTCTTTGCTCAAGAGGGTCCTTTTGGTCTCTGAGAAATGGGGAGAGGGAAAGAACAAGAAGCCCGGAGTTGAGTTTTAAGGCTTGATTAGTCATATATTACCTTGCAGGCATCATCATGGTTCCTTGTGTCACCAGCACACAGCATGTTGGAAGTCACTGTTCGGTCAGCAAGTTGCTTGGGGGTGCACATGCTATCAGGGTATAATCGGACATGTCCTTCTTTCAGCTGATCAGAGAAGAATGCAGAAACTAAAATGAAAGAGAAAAGTGATGGTTAGAGATAGACTTTAGGTGTATGATCTCTTTGTGATGTCTCAGCCTCCAAGTCCCACCTTGCCACTAGACTCAAATTTTCCCTCCTATAGGGCTTCCATGTACAGCCTGGGCTTAAGATCTTAGGGGCTGCACAAAGTGCATGCAATTTAGCAGAAATATTTTAAAACCGTTTAACTTTAACTGGTTCTGTTAAAATATAGTAGCTTTTTTTAAAATCATGTTTCTGGGCCACTAGCAAAAAAAATCAAAAAGTTTACTGGTTTCAATAATATGTCCACATGATAAACATTTCTGGTTCCTTACACTCTTCTTGTCTCCCATATCCAGAGATCTCACACTCTGTCCAGTCTGGCAGCTTCTGTCCTCTCTCAGGCATGCAGGCCAGCCTGACGCTGTCTGTCTCCATGGCACATGATCCAGATGCAGACCGCAGCTTCAGAAGAGCTGTACAAGATGAAGAGCCAACATGAAAGAGTTGATGGTATACCAATGGGGACGCTGTGTATTTGCAGAATACGTTAAAAAAAGTGTGTGTATTTCTAGAGCTGGAAATACAAACTTATAGTGAATCTGTCAATAAACACATTTGCTCTCTTTGCTTATATCTGTTCCTATTCTAGTTACATAATCCTACCCTTGGTGTCAGAAAGGCTTCATAGGTGTTAATCCTTCTATTTGCAAGGCTGGGGATGTGAATTATTGTCAAAATGTTGGGGTAGATATGTTGGAGTAGCATTATATGTAAATGATGGTTGTTCCAGTTTGAAGTACAGAAAAACAAATTAACCTTACTGGACTGTATGTTTCATGTTGGGGGGGGGGGGGGGGGGGCTATAGGAAACCAACCAAAACACACCAGTAACTGCTTTTTGGCTCCCACCATCCAGTGGAACAAACCCTGCAACATTGGGCTGAGATAGTAACAACAAATGCAAAAGACATCCCTTGAGTGCCCAGACTGGGCTTTTGTCAAAACCTCCATAAGGTCATGCAAAAACACAGTCCCATCTGTAGGTAGGTGCAGTGTTTTCTCCACTGTAGGTGGAACTCGACCTGAGTGGTACCACAAGCCTTGAGAGGAAGTAAAAGAAAAGGAATAGTTTCTCTATGTTTTCCTGTGTTTATGGAGCAGTGTCCCAGTTGGCTACTCTGTAACCATGTGACCCTTGGCAGCCATCTTGGGTCAACAATGTCTATTATAAGTCCCTGCTCCCAGGTTTTGGCACGCATTTTGCAAGTGGCTAGTGCAGGGAGAGAGAACTTGTTTTTTTAGGGAAAGCAACTAGCAGTAAGGAAAGGTTCAGACGAGAAAGAACAGGGTAAGGACTTGTAACCTGGAAAGAAGCCTCCCTATTTGGCAATGGACCGGCCAGGTCCGCTTGAACATTAAAAAGGTCCAACACTCAAACACAAGCAAAGTAACTTGCTATATGCAATACAGTATAGTGAGGAGTGCAAAGACATTGGGGAGACAACGCAACCTCTCAACAAACACATTTCTCAACGTAGGAGGGCAAATTCTTTGGGGCAAGTTTTTCTACACCTAAAAAAAAAGTAACATTATTTTGAAGACATTGTTTCACCTTTTGTACAGAGAGGACAACTGGTTTGCAGGATGCGTGAAAGAGGCCATCTACGTCAAACTGGAATAACCATCACTAAGCAGGACTGGGGGACCATCTTACTCTCACTTACTGTATAATGTCATTTTATTAGCTCTACCTCAACTTTTTTTTTTAGAATTCACACCTTTAGGTATGTAAACAGAAGCATTACAACCTATTAAATCTTCCTGACACCAAAAATGGGATTACGTAATGGTGGTTCCTCATTTTTCACACATCCAGTCCTATTCTTCTACAGTAACATATTTATTTTCGTAGTGATTAGTTTAAAGTGTCTATGCTAACTGTATTAATGCTGGGGTATTTTTCTTACTCTCTTTATAAGTGAAGAAGTTGCTTGGATAAGTCCAGTTGACTATTACTAGATAATGGTGACAGCAGATATGTAGTTTGTCCATTTCTAAAAACAAATCATTAAACCTCTTCCAACTTGTCAAACAGTAAAAGCAAAAATTGCAATTTCTTTCCTTCTTGTTGTCCCAAGTTTGTTTAATGCAACAATGAGGAGAAAATAGCAACTTGTCGAAGTAACTCAGTTGGCTGGAAACTGGTCAAACTGACAACCATGTCTTCTACAAGGGGTTTTGAAATATTTTATGATGCCCAGCATGCTAAGGATACATCAAGTTGAAGGATAAGTGGAATCTGCCAAGCCTATAAACTGCTTGTCTCCTCCGTAGTTCGATACTATACAGTCTGATTCGGCAACTCTGTACTAAGATAGGTATCATAGTAAAGCTCAGGGGGTGGAAGTAGTAACAGTATGCTCATTTTTGGGTGTTTGACAAGCATCCAACATGTCCCAGGTGTTCTTAGAGTATAAGTAACCCAATGTGTCACAAGCCACTGCCTCTCTAAAAGTGACAGAAAAGGCGCTCTAAAAGATACTGTTGGATGGGTGTAGAAGCTTGGTATTAAGGTTCATCATACTTGAGGGTATATTTAAGAAGTTTATTAGGGTTGACAGTTCCTATAAGGAAGTCGAGCTGATGAAAAGCATCAGAAAATGATGTCAGATGCAAACTGGAAGTTTAGCAGTGGCCATCTTGGAAAAAGTTGTTGCTGGCATTCATTTTTACACGCAAGCGGCTTATTTAGCAAATAAAAGGTTTCTGATTTTAAATACTGCTGCACTATGTTTTATTCTATTTATTTCCACATGACTTCTGAATACATGAAAACATTGCGTATATATGATGGCGTTGGTATGAATAGAGCGGTCCCTGGAGTTCATACATGCTGTGTTTTATGTGAATTTACCCATTTGGAAAGGAGACAACAGGTGAAGAACAGCGAAAGGATAATATGCATAAATGCAAGAATTGTTGGACTGATGGTAAGGGTAGAGGTGGCGAACACCAGAGTCTTTTCACGTGGTGGAGATAAGTTAGGCACACTAATATAATTTTTATGTGAGCATTATTATTTGGTTTGTTAATTTACTGGAGGAGATGACATTATATGCGATATATATATCTTTTACATGGTGGGAAAGAGACAGAAGTCCAATTGGATATCTGGGTAGAAGAGAAGACACATTTGTATGGATTGAAGGGCTTGGTCAGCTTCATCATCTGGTGAGAGCATGAGGAGAACATAGCAATTTTAGCATGGAATGTTTCCTGTGTTTTTGAAATTGAACTTTTAAAAAAAAGTTGTGGACAGTGTTTAAAGCACTGGATATTCATATTATATAGATCTTATCTACCCAGGGTGGTAGTATACATTTATTATCCAGCAGCTGGGAACATTTTTTCTAATTCCTCAGGCGCTGATTAAGTGTTTGATATAGTCCATAGGTGATAAGCAAAGCCAAAATGTATTCGGGGAAATGCCTCCCCTTTCATCAGAGCTAATATACAGGGAAATATTAAAATCAACTAATAAGAGTAGAAGTCCAATGGTAAATTGTAAGTGACTTCTACACAGATATGGGTCACTCTTTGAAATGGTAGATTTCAAAATGGATAAGTTGATCCATGGAATAGCCAATTGCCTCTCAGGGATCAGGAAGGAATTTGTTTCCAGCAGGAGCAAATTGGATCATGCTTTGCTGGTTTTTTTGCCTTCCTCTGGATCAACTGCGGGTATAGGATTATAACGGGTTTTTTTTTCTATGGTTGAACTGGATGAACTTTTGTCTTTTTTCAGCCAGACTAACTATGTAATTATGTAGATAGATGTGATAAATAGATAAATTGATACAATAAAATAAAGGGAATGTATATAAGGACAACAAAGGTATATGATCAATTTTGCTTGTTTTCCTTATATATACATTCACTTTATTTACTGTACCCATTTATGTATTTATCACATGCATCTATCATTCCAATGAGTGATCCATATCAATGTTCTTTGCATTTTGACAGCATATTTTCAACTTAGAGTTCACATGCTAGTGCCAGGGCAGTTACCCAATTGACAGGTTTAACCTTCTTGACCCAGAACTAGCATGCAGCACATACACACTCGAGGAATGGCTGCCTTTTTCCAAGCTTTGTCACACAGCTGTTTTGCTTCATGAAAGTTTGTCTCTGAACATAATAAGTATCCTATACCTATTTACTCACCAATATCATTATCTAAGGTATCTTCATCAAAGTGTGGATGTTTATACATTTTTTCCACTGTGAAACTTTGTTCCTGATCTCCAGGCACAGCACGCATTGTTCGGCCCAGCTTGACACGAATCGTTTTGGCAGTCAGTCTAGGAAGAAGCAGAGTCTACATAGTAGCAGGTCTTAATGATATTTTGTTTAGCAATTAATGATTTAAAATAATTACTCACTTGTCACTTAAAAGGCAATGAGCAGCTGTCAGCACCCAGCAGCGGTCTATCAGGGTCCCCCCACAGAAGAAGAACTCTGATCCCCTATAAATATAGAAGAGAGCAGCCATCCATGGATGAGATGTAATCTGTGCACTTTGGCCTCCAGCAATACGAAATCGGGGCTGTAGCTGTGGTGGGGGCTTTCGAATTCCACAGGTGGCTGAGGAGCAAGATATTGACATCACAATTCAGATCAGGTTGTGCAAACCAAACTAAGATTAGAACACTGCTCCCCTCCATGCTATATTGGTTTAAATACTGGCCTGGAGTTGTAGGTCTCAAAAGCTAAATATCTGCAGTAATGTGAATATGAGAAGGATGCAATGTTTACATGCTATAATGTTCCTCATGATTTATACCTCTGCAATGGCTGGGATATTTCTAGGCCTGGAAAACTGGTGATATTTGAAAATTTACTGTTAATATGTAGCAGCGAAACAAATAAAAGTATGTGAAGCTCATCCTCTGTGCCAGACTTCACTTGTAAAATCAGGCTTAGCCAAGGGGGTATTTACTTCCTGGCCATTTCTGACTGTATGTTTTCTGTCTTCTTTTGTATATCTCCTCCTTTTGGCATTATAGTTATATCTGGAAGGCCAAATGAGCATGGAAACTCCCCCTTCAATTTGTATATTTTACATTATGGGGTAACCAAGCATGACACCATAATTTGGCTTTGTAATGGCATTTCTGTGGAAATGGGAGTTCCAGGCAGATATCTCACCACTGTCATTTTGGTGGAAATGGGAGTTCCAGGCAAATATCTTACGACTCGAATTCTGAAGAGATACAAAAGGCCACTGTGCATACAAATGCAGCTTGCCAGGAAGCGTGCATAACTGACATACCCCTTAATATACTAGCCCCATGTGTATATGTAGGTATACAACACCTAAGTATCCATTATTAAACACTGGTAATGGGTTATGATAAGAAGCACCATCAGGGGATGCAACTTGACCAACATATTTATGCATCTAATTTCTGTCCTTGTCGATCTTTCTTGAAAGTTTTCTGATACAGGAAAGAACGAACTGACTGATCTGCATTAAGGGCTAGCCACATCTCAGCTGAATCCATGAGGGATGACCTAGAATGCCAACTGCAAGTCCACAATGATTTTTCAACATCACCACCATCACTAATGCTATTCCACCTTACTGGAAGCAAATATGACCAGCACTGTTCCAGCATCTAGAGAAATCCATCCCAAATGTGTAATGGCTGCTATAGCAGAAAAAGGGAACCAACCTTATATTCTTGACTTCAGAATGTGGAAAGACCAGGTATTCACATACTTTTCACGAAGCCAGGTGTTCACATACTCACATAAACTATAGTATATGAGTTTTGAGTGGAATTACATTTGCAGTTAAATTAAACCTGTCCTGAGAGAAATGTGCAGACTTGCGGTGCCTCTTTCTGTAAATGCTAGTTACCTGGCTGTCTCTAATTTAAGAGTCAATGTCCTGGCTCAAGCATACAGGGAGAGATCAAAGAAAACTCAGAAATTCTGATCTGAAGTGACTAAATCAATATAACAGTTCAGATTAATATCTTTTTTTAGAAGAAGGGGTCTGCACTAGCAGGCTGTGCACTTCTTGCAGCACAGGTTTAATTTTTATATAGGTTGAGGAAGTCTCGAAATATAGATCATGTGGAGTGCTATAATAGGCTATCATGACCCTGATGAAGTCACGTGACAGTGATGTAACGTGTAGGTCGGAGAGCGGAATGTAGTGACGTCATTTCTGACATGAACAGCAGCAGCCATATTGGTATACCCAGTACACCCATATCAGCACATATGATTGATGCCTTGTTTGATCTCTTCCAATGTAAGTGTGCATTTACCTTTACAATAAATTTGATTCATTTACAATATTACACTATGGAAGCACTTTTTCTTGTCTCCCTGGGAGTGCTGTGAACTGGCTGCTTTTTCTGGTTCAATGAACCCCCTGGCAGGAGCTCTGTGCGCTGGTGGATTTCCGTGTCCAAAGGTGAAAGATATATTACCACCGCTGAACAGTATGGTCCACCAGTGAGGGAGATATCATCCCTACATCGCCGTTTGGGATTCCACTTAAAGGACCCCTGCAGTGAGTGTCCGGAAAGCCTTTTGGCCCCTTGGAGTCTGGGCGCGGAGGTGAGGAGGCAGTTTAGCCGGTGTGGGATTCAACAATCATTTACCTATCTACGTTGTTTTTTATTTTTTAATGCGTTTTTGTTGGATGTTTTTGCACATGGACTTTATGTCGTATTTACGATTTTTTTAGTCACGTTATTTATTTCTTCATTGTGTTATTGTATTTTACGGTGCACAGTAATACATTCATTTGGTTTCACTGTGCGATTTATATTACCATTTCTGTTTTATACTAGTTGCACTCTATATATGTTTGCCACATTTATTTATGGTATTTATATGGTCACCTATTAGTTGTTTTATGTCACATTGCCTTTTGATGCACATTGTGTTATGACTCTTTAGTCGCATGGTCAAATTTTTTGGCCTCACTGTGCGTTGTTATTGTCATTCTTCTGTGATAAGTGGTTTGTCCACTTTCAATATTAAGCACTTCATTTTGTATTTTTCACATTTTGCTCCACTCTCTCTCATCAGTTGTATTCATATTATTTCATTTATGTTATGACGGACTCATATGTCCCACTATTACTGTGATTTAGTTAATATTTTATTTCTCCCTGATCATTTCCGTGCATTTTTCCCACAGTCACAATTTATATTGTCTGTTACACCTTTTGGTCCTCATTTTGGACCTTTATTATTTCATCTTTCCCTTCACTCCCATATTCCTTCCATTGACTGATTATGTTATGGTGCATTATCTATTGTCTTCTCATCTCATTATTTGTTTTGGAATGTCTGTGGCATTATTGTGATTAGCGCAACATCAATTTTCTGTTTGTTATAATAGGCTCTGAACGGTCTATGGGTCAGATATAGCCAGCCTTTTGCTAATCCATAGACTTTTGATATTACTGTGTTACTTACAGCATTTAGGGACATCACAGAATTCCCAGCTAGTCTGAGTTCCATTCATCACATGACACCAAGGACGCACATCGTTATCCGGATTCCTTTAAAATATAAACCAGAGCACACTTCAATACAAATAGACAGCTGTCATTTTAGCATTTCCTAAATATATAACTCGAAGAGATTATACATAGTGCAGAATCAGTGGTGCAATTACAGGTTTGTAAAAAGTGTGAAACAATAAACTCAAATGATATGGGTTGCAAAGTGAAAAAAAATGCAACTTGAGCACCTAGGTAGCCTTGGAACTGAATATCATGGGGGGAAGAGATAGGAACTGGACTTGTTTTTCTAACCTATATGATTACCATTGTATCCCCCGAGAACTGTCAGTCAGTGGTGCCCGTGGGCATTCACTCACATGAGAATGTATGGACAAACAATGGGGAGGTGGCACAATAAATGATGTACTACTGCACCTGTCTTGAGTAAAAAAAAAGCATACAAAATGGAGAATGGCATGATACAACTTGGAGCTGTAAAGTGATAGTGAGGTGGTCCAAAAACCCTTGATCTGCAAATACGATTACTGGATTTGGAGATTTTTCCATAGAAAGTTTTGTTCCAGGAGATGTCCCTGGCTTTAGGATTGGCAAGCTATACAGCAAAATGTTTCAGCATATTTGATAAAATATCTGTTGTCAGTTATTGTCCCTTGAGAGGTTGTGAATCTTCATTTGCAGAGTATTTATATTTCATTTAGCATATTGCTGCACAGATCCCCTTTACAGTATACAGGACTCACCTGCAGTAGTTGTGGCTTCCCAAACCCTGCCTGCGGGATTTGCCACTCCAAGCATTATAGACTTTGTTCTTCACCAGTGCTGAGTCCCACCGCAAACAGCGGGCACCAGAGATGGTGACATTGCTAGAGCCTCGATATGAAGTTCCTCGCTCTGAATAACAGTCTGGGGTGGCTGTTTGGGATAGATAATATATAAAGCACATTATCTTTATTGTTACACCAAGCAGTACAATGCAACATATTTACTGTATATCAGGATGCTATTCAAACTGTGCAATATTTTATAAGAGAATGTTTCATTGTGCAATATACGTATATGGAACAACCAGGGGTGGACTGACAACTCATGGGGCCCCCAGGCAATAGGGGATCATGGGGCCCCTGTGTCCTTGCCCAAACTCAAAAAAGCCTATGAAAAAAGGTACCAGGGGCATCTCATGGGGCCCCCTACTGACCCCGGGCCCTCAGGCAGTGCCCAAGTTTCCAACTGGTCAGTCCGCCCCTGGGAACAATCCTACTTAAACAGAAAACAAGACCCATCTGATCATTCAAGTAACATATGCCAACCATGACCTAATGGATTTTATCTATACCTGAAATTGCACTATGGCAATATACAGACCATTAGGCAGTATTCATTGTGTCACGTTATGTAGGCTGGAAAAAATCAAATGACCCGTATACTATTTCATATCTTCAGCATATCTCCAGCTGTAGGTGGTTTGCATAATGTTCAAAAACAAGCATTACAAATCTCAAGCTGATTACATATAGAAGTACAAATTGGACCTCCATTCACTCTCCATCTAGGTGCCCTATATGTGCAGTAGGTTCTCTTACTGTATGTGAATTCTTGTTAGGGTCCCATGAAGCTCTGTACATTGCCATCAACCCCTGCCCTATCATCCCATTAGTCACTGTTCTCTGTGGTTCCTTTTTCTGCTAAAACTTCTCCTCTCCCTTCACATCACAACCCCCCTTCATCTATAAGTATCTAATTACTGTCTGTGCTGACCCAGCTCCTTTGTCCCTCACCCCCTTACATAACTTTTATGTAGCTGCCAAGTAAGGAAAAAAAGGGGAACATTTGAGTGACAATTCTGAGGGTTGCTGACATGACCTCCAAATGGTGGTACCCAGCAGCATTCTCAGGGCTTTTGGAAACTCTTTGCCGGCAAATAACATGCAATAAATATGTTCAGTTCATATATAATATAGTAGAAAGATTTTTGTTGACTTGAATGGTCTGACAAAAAGGTCTCTTTAATATTAGCACCTGAAAGCCTAGATAATGAAGATACATACCCATTGGGCAGGCTGGCACACTGCAATGTTCCCACCTGTACGCCCCATCTTTAAATATATAACACCAGGGAGAGACATCACTGTCAGGGTTTCTGCAAAATAAAACGGAATGTTCAATGTATACATCCAGCAGCTCATGTGGTTGGTTTACAGCACTCTGCTCACCATTGTTCATTGAATGAATGAATAAACAGGCCTGTCAGAATAAAAACCAACCTGCGCTTTGTCCACAGTGGACAAAACAACAGCAATTGGTTGTCACCTTTCTCACCCAATCAACAGCCAGATTCTTGTGCCAGTTTGATTTTCTGATCACAACTCCCCAACATCCCAAAGTGACATGTCTTGATCACGCGGGCACTGACAACTGCACTGTGGAAGGCACTGGAAATAACACATGCTCCCCCATATCCAGAAGTATTTCTCAGGTGTGTGAAAGGTAAGTGCTGCCTGTAAAGTGAAGCTGTAAGGCTCCTTTCACATGGGCGTTCTGTTTTCTTCCATCAGTTCAGTCACATTATTTTCGTTCACATCAGTTTTTAATCAGTTTACGTCTGTTTTTCATTGTTTTACATAAGTTCACATCAGTTTTTCATCAGTTTACTTCTGTTTTTAATTGCTTTACATCTGTTTTTCATCTGTTTACATCTGTTTTTCATCCTTATACATCAGTTTACATCCGTTTTAGGTCGTTTACATCTGTTTTTCATCCGTTTACATCAGTTTTTTGTCTGTTTACATCCATTTTTGGCCATTTACATCCGCGTTTCGTTTTTTCCAAGAAAAAAAAGGATCAGTTCGCTTCAGTTTTTCATAAGTTCACATCAGTTTTTCATCAGTTTAAGTCTGTTTTTCATAGTTTTACATCAGTTTACATCCATTTTTCATCAATTTACATATGTTTTTCCTCAGTTTACATCTGTTTTTCATCAGTTTACATCTGTTTTTTCATCTGTTTACATCTGTTTTTCATCCGTTTACATCCATTGTCGTCCATTTTCATCTGTTGTTCATCTGTTTTAGGCCATGTACATCCGTTTTTTTTTTTTTCGGCCATTTACATCAGTTTTTCATCCATTTACATCCGCTTTCGTCTGTTTACATCCGTTTTTCATTCGTTTTTTAGGCCGCTTACATCTGGTTTTTGTCCGTTTACATGAGTTTTTGCCTGTTTACATAGGTTTTTTTGTCTGTTTACATCCATTTTTGGCCATTTACATGCAAGAAAAAGGATCAGATCACATCAGTTTTTCATCAGTTCACATCAGTTTTTCATCAGTTTAAGTCTGTTTTTCATAGTTTTAGATCAGTTTACATCCGTTTTTCATCAGTTTACATCTGCTTTTTCATCCGTTTACATCCGTTTTTCATCCGTTTTAGACCGCTTACATCTGTTTTTCATCCGTTTACATCAGTTTTTGTCCGTTTACATCAGTTTTTGTCATCTGTTTACATCTGTTTTTCATCCGTTTTCATCTGTTTTACATCTGTTTTAGGCCATGTACATCTGTTTTTCAGCCATTTACATCCGTTTTCGTCCATTTACATCCGTTTCAGACCGTTTACATCTGTTTTTCATCCGTTTACATCAGTTTTTGTCCGTTTACATCAGTTTTTCGGCCATTTACATCAGTTTTTGTCTGTTTACATCTGTTATTCGTCTGTTCTGTTTTTTGTAACAGAAGAAAAATAGGTTTTTCCGGTTCAAAAAACAGATGTTAACTAGAGATGAGTGAATTATTCAAAAATTTGATTCGGCTGATTCGCCGAATTCGCGGAATAAATTCGATTCGAGTCGAATATATTCGCTGCGAATTTAACTTATAAAAAGGGTGTTTCTAGGCTTCAGAGAGCCTTTATATTAGTGCAGAACACTGTACCTTTAATTTAAATGCCCTTGGAGTCTGCTGGGGAAGAGAACTAATACTGTCAGTCAGTATGACATGCAGATGAGTGCCGTCGATCTTAGAATCACCGCACACTTCACTCATTTGGGCCAAAACCAGAGTGTGGAGCCACAGTGTGGCGGTGGAGGCAGCAGCAATGGGAGGCCATACAGCACCCTATGACAAAATGGAACCCACCAGCAGTGTGAGGAGACCTGAAAGTGGCACATGGCAGAGTGTGGCGATGGAGACAGCAGCAATGGGAGGCCGTACAGGGAACCATGACACACTCTGGACCTGGCAGCAGCATGAGGAGGCGGTACAGGGGCCCATGACAGATTACGGGCCTGGCAGCAGCATGAGGAGTCGGTACGGGGGCCCATGGCAGATTACGGGCCTGGCAGCTAATAGTCGTCTCCCCACGCTGCTGCTGGGGGGACTTTTTAACATAGGCCTCTGTATGGCCTTCAATTTAAGCTACTTACGCTTCGCCACTCTGCCATGGGCCCCTGTACCGCCTCCTCTTGCTGCTGCCAGGTCCAGAGTGTGTCATGGGTCCCTGTACGGCCTCCCATTGCTGCTGACTTCATCGCCAGACTCTGCCATGTGCCACTTTTAGGTCTCCTTACACTGTTGGTGGGTTCCATTTTGTGTAGTCGTCGACTATCAAGAGTCCAATGGCAGAGTGGCGGAGCAGAAGCAGCTTCAATTGAAGGCCATACACAGGCCTAGGTTTAAAAGTCCCTCACAGTTAATTCCAATAACAAACTCTACTCCTCCGTGCAATCTACTTACGAGACCCTGGGCAGGTCTGGGTCCAATTTGTGGTAGAGACTGGTTTTGTTCAGCCATGCTTGAGCGAGTAATAACAGGTCTGTGCTGCCCTTTGGTGTCTGGCTTAATGCGCACAACACTGAACGTCCCAGCGTTTGTCAACGATTTGCCGTTAAGTGATGCAAACCCACTGAACCACGTTCATGAGGAGCCGGTACAGGGGGCCATGAATCAGTATGGACCTGGCAGCAGCGTGAGCAGACGACAGAGGCACATGGCGCAGGGTGGCGGTGTAGGCAGCATTATTCTGAAGCCATACACAGGCCTAGGTTAAAAAGCGGAAGCCGTCAGCAGCGTGAACAGACGACAGAGACACATGGCGCAGGGTGGGGGTGGATGCAGCAGTATTCGGAAGCCAAAACAGGCCTCGGTTAAAAAGCGGAAGCCGTCAGCAGCGTGAGCAGACGACAGAGGCAAATGGCGCAGGGTGGCGGTGGAGGCAGCAGCAATGGAAGGCCATACAGCACCCTATCACAAAATGGAACCCACCGACAGTGTAAGGAGACCTGAAAGTGGCACATGGCAGAGTCTGGCGATGAAGTCAGCAGCAATGGGAGGCCGTACAGGGACCCATGACACACTCTGGACCTGGCAGCAGCAAGAGGAGGCGGTACAGGGGCCCATGGCAGAGTGGCGAAGCGTAAGCAGCTTAAATTAAAGGCCATACAGAGGCCTATGTTAAAAATAATAACATGTTTGGGGCATGATTCATGGCGGATTTAGTCAGTTGTGTCAGGAACTGGTGGTTTGAAATCCAGACTAATCCACGCCTGATTCATTTTCACAAACGTGAGTCTCTCCACACTTTGGGTGGACAGTTGTGTCCTCCGCGGAGTTACAATACCTCCTGCCGCACTAAACACGCGCTCCGATGCCACGCTACTGGCCGGGCATGACAGCCTTTCAAGGGCAAAATTCAGCTAGTTGGGGCCAAAGGTCAAGTTTCGTTGCCCAGTAGTCAAGGGGATTGTCTACCTCGGTTGGCAGGGGTGCTGTCCAAGTAGGCCCGAGCCTGTTGTTTGAGGTCCTGCTCCAGGTCCACCTGATGCTGCTGCTGCTGCGCTGGGCTGGTTAGTAGTTTCCTCACTGCGCTGGTGAAGAAAGCTACTCATCATCGACTGCAGACTGAGGCAGCCGCTGCTGGTGGA